AGGATATGTGTGCTGTGAATTGTGGGGGAGTACTGGGCAGGCACTGGCCACTGCAGGGCCCAGGTAAGGGGAGCAGCGCTGGGCTCCATGGCAGAGGCCTGGACCGTAGCCCTGGCTTGGGTTTGGATGTGTTTTCAATGAGATCTTGTAGTTAGGGACTGTTTCCTTTGTTTGCTCTTTTATTTCAAGTTGGTGAGCTCATGGAATTATGGAAACTATCTGAAAGCAAATTCATAACAGTTAACAATGTACCTACACAATATTTCTTCAAGAGTTTTTTAATGTACAGATCGGTTACCATTTCTGGTGGATTATAGGTTGGTAGAAAGTGACCTACTCCTCTCTTTTCCACCCCCATCCCCATATGTGTTAGATTGTTTCCCATTTAAGAGGCCAAGTATGTTAAATTTTATAGGCACCCAGGTGCCATTTGGTGGATCACGTGTTGACCCTTATGTCTCTTGTGGGCCAACAGCTGTCAGTGACATTCTGTGCAAGGCGAGGGGCTCCTGAATGCAGACATTTGGGTCCTTCTGGGTCACACCGCAGCCTCTTTTTGGCAAAGGCCTCTATCACTGTTCAGGAAGAGCCTAGACGGCCTTTCTTGATTCTTCACCAAACTTGGCATCATCATGACATTTACCCCTCTAGGGTTCCCTGGATCCCCTGCATGACACAGGGACCCCAGAGTCCCATGGGGCCTGTTTCCCTGCAAGTTGAGCTGAAAAGGTTTAAAGCCATGTTTGTTGTTGTTGTTGTTGTTGTTGTTGTTGTTGTTGTTGTTGTTAGGCTTCCTTAAGGTTAGAGCATTATTTTTGGAAATGCAGTGATCCATGTAGTAGCAAAGTATGATGAGTTGGAGAGACTGCTCTCTTTGCCAAAGTAATGGACTGAGGATAGAAGTTCCATTCTGTGCTTTCAAAGTGAAAAACATTTTAAAGACTGGAGAATCTTATGACATGTAAAGTAAAAAATAGAATATCAAATTTCATGTACAGGATTATCTTAACTATGTTCAAATAAATGCATGCACAAAATTATAAACAGTGGCTGTTTCTTGGTGGCAGAAGCATGAATGATGCTTTTTTTTCCCCCTTCCTTATGTTTTTATGTTTTTGTTTTGTTGTGTTTTTGGGGAGTAGGGTTAGAGTTTGCTCAGTTTCTTATTTTTTTTTACAACATGTGATTGTATAATTTTTCCTTAATTTTCTTTGACAAATGTTTTGAAAATAGTCACTGCTGTCAGAAGAAAGGCATTTCATTAGAATAAATATGTCCACGGCATAAATAAATGTACCTGATGTGGTTAGGAGAACAGTATCGTGCTATAATTTCAGAGGCTGTGTGACTCTCTTATTTCTTATAGCAATCTTACTAAGGTATGGGACATCAAAGTGATATGTCTTAATCCGTATTTTTAAAACTTTTAAAGCAACTCTCTATTCCAAAAGTGTACAATCTTTGTAAATAATGAAATGTAGGTGTAAATAATAATGCAAATACACATAAACAAGAAAGAAGAAATGTCACACGTACTTCTATTACCTTAGAGAAAAAACACACACTCTTACCTGGTTTTGTACACTTCCGATCTTTTTCCCCCCTTTACCTGTGCATTTGTATTCCTGCGTTGAAAATAACTCAACACAAAAATGAGATCTATTGATTTGACCTACATGACTATGAAAAAATGTGCCACCAGTGGTAAGCTGGCACCTTTCTCTCCATCCTCTGACTTATGCATATTCAAACAAGGTTAGTTTCAGGATGGTCTGTTTCTGTAGCCTCCCTCCCTGCTCCTATCACACCAAGCTTTCCAAAAGAGTGTGACCAGACATCTGGACATGTTGGACTGAAGCTTACTTCTCTGGGTCCATTGGAAAAAAAATTATATGAGGATGCTATGTTCATTTTTGTCCCCTAACTGTTCTGTTCTTGAGCCTTTTCCTTTTGCAGCCAGGCAGATTCTTGTAACACTGAGAATTCTCACTTGCAGACATCCTTTAGTGCATGTGTTCACTGCGCCTGCAGGATCTGGCATAGGGACCTTGAGGTGCCAGGAAAAAGGGCCAAGGTTTCAAAGTTATTTTAGCTCATGATACAAATGTCCCCAAATACAACACATAATTCTCAGGCATCTTCGCAGTCATGATATTTTGTTGGCCTCTTCGATATTGCTGTCACATAGAAAAATCATCCTGATTTCCAAACCCTTCCCTTCCATAAGTTAGGGCCTCTTGAAAAATATCTTTCCTGACAGCCCCATTCACACATGATTTCCCTTGCCCAGAGTCTCCCTGGATGTTCTTCATTGCTTTCTGCTCAGCTATGAGCAATCTCAGGCTTCCCCAGGGTCATTTGAGGCAGTAGATCTTCTGTTGCTTCTATGAGGACTTGCTTTGTCATGTAATTGGCCTTATCTACAAGTACCCACAGCTTGACTCCTAAAAGCAAAACAAAAAATAACAAGTCAAAAACAGAAAAACATAAGAAAGAAAATCGTGTCATTTTTGGTTCTTCCACCAAGGAATAACCACTGTTTTCAATTTTGGGGTGTGTATGTTTTGGTGGGGGGAGGTTTGCGTATTTATTTTAAGATGGTTAAGATTATCTTGTACATAGAGTTTTGTTTTTGATTTTTCACTTAACATGTCATAAGCATTTCCTCAGTCACAAAGATTATTTACAAACTTTTTCAGTGACTAGATCATTCATAGTTCATTTTATGGATTCTACTACAAAGTGCTTAGCTGTTTGTTTAATCTGGGAGACAATCTAAATACCAATTTTCTGATAATGCATCCATGATAGCAGGCATGTGGAAGACTGTTAGGGTATGTGATGAGTTTTCTGCAAATGTTAACTATTAGTGCTTTGATTGATGATAATTTTAATGTAATTGTTGTCCCTGATACAAGGAGAAAGAAGATTGCCACAGGGAAGTGTGGGCATCAAGCATGGGCATTGCCTGTGCCTGTACCCCACTGAGAATGGACTTCTTCAGGGGTATAATTTCAAAATTTTAGGAAGTGCCTTGGCCTTCCAAGCTGAGGTCCATCTGCTGCATGCTCAAAAGCTCAAAAACATTGGTTGGTCTGGGTGCTGTTGCTGAAAAGGTGGAGTTAGGGACCTGGAAAAGTCCTTCCCTTGAGTTGGGTGCATCTGGTCGTCAGGCTACTATGTATTCCTTTTGTGGTACATGTTGGTATTACTTCTGAACTATCATTCTTCAGATGCCACTTGGAGTCCCAAATAACTACCTTGTTCTCCTTCAACCAAAAGGCAACATTTTCATGGCCAGGGAGAGAGAATGTCAGGGAAATGTGGGATAGGATGATTTTGGAAGTAATCACATGGAGAAAGGACTTGTAAGTGCAATCTGAAGAGGTTAGATAGGTGAGAACTAGTTGAAAAGATGCAGAACCAGGAAGATGGGGAGAGGGTAAAATGTGAAGCAACACATGGTGTAAAACTGGGGTCAGAAGAAAAAGCAACCAAGGAAAGAAGAAGAAAGGAACAGAAAGGGAGGATCAATTCGAGTATTACCACTGAGCTTTCAAACTGTGCCTCTCCCACTTCCTTCTTTCACCCTCCACCCCGAGGAGTGCCTTTTATATATTCTTTAAAGTATTTATTCATTGAGTTTCTCATAAATGCCAAAAGTTTTTCTTTTATAGTCTGTATTAAATATTGACAAGGAAAACTAATTTAGAACAAGAAATTAATTTATTAAATTCCAAATATATGTGCTTTGTATGGAGTCATATGAAATTAACATATAAAATGACATAATGTATCGTAACATAAAGCAACATTACTCTCCAAACACTTTAGAAATTAAAAGCAAATGTTTGCGTTGGATCCCATTGGTCCTATCAGATCAGTTGGCACATCCTTCTTCTGTCTTGACTCAATCCTTCCCTTAGATACTCTGAGCAATTACTTGTATGACATTTTCTTATTCTTGACCTGGTACTTTTTATTCTGGCTATTATTCTTGACCTGGCAATTATTCTAGTGTTGACTGGAAATTGTGCTTGTTATTATTGATTTTTTTAAAAAATTATTTGGGCTAATATCTCTAAATGGATTCCTCATTTCCTGGTTGTTTCATGCCTTTTTGAAAACAGATAAGATACATTGACATGCAGAACACACCAACGTCAAGTTTTATTTTAAAAAAGAAACAATATTTACTTTTCTATAAAAATATTTGAGCGGCCCCAAAGTGTAAAACTTTACTTGATCTCATAAGCATTTGAATTAATTATATTTCAGAATGATGACTCTATTGGAATTCCTTAACTGTATTAAATTACATTCTGTAGCTTTTTTTTTTTTAATCCCATTTTTTATCTTGGTTCTTAGATCAAAATATAGGAATTTCTAGAAAACATGTAAAGACTATCTGTAAATATTATCAGTAATTTGTTTCCTGATACTATTAAACATGTATCTGTTTGGTAATTCTATTGACCTGTCCTAGGTAAATACGTGGGTATTGAATATCACAGTTTTCCTTAAGAGCATGGGAAACATTTAGCACACAGTGTGTCTGATTTTTTTGAATTAGTTAAATGAAAATCATGCTAATGTCTTGGGGTATTGTCATTTATGTCGCTTCCCTTTGTTTCTTTATATACTGACTTTGCTCTTGTGTGTGTGGGTGATGAAGTAAGGCCAGTTCTTACTTATCTCAGTTCAGTTTCTTCATTCCTTATGTTAAGACCATGGAAGCATACCAAGGCTACAAAATAGGTATGCTTTGAAACTTCGGAGGTTTTTAAATAACTTTCAAGTATAAAAGCACCAGAAGTATTCTATGAGTATTCTATGAGGTTTGGCACAAACCTTTAAAAACGACCACTTTTTTTGTTGTTATTTGATTTCCCTTAGTGCATCTCTGCTAAGGCCCTCCCTTACCTGGCAGGTGCCCCTGATTTCTCTGTGAATCCTTGCCTTGGATTGTGACCCGGCTTTTGTCTCTCACTCCTCCGCAGAGCCCGGCGTTTGCACGGTGTTTGGCGATCCCCACTACAACACTTTTGACGGTCGGACATTTAACTTTCAGGGGACGTGTCAGTACGTTTTGACAAAAGACTGCTCCTCCCCTGCCTCGCCCTTCCAGGTGCTGGTGAAGAACGATGCCCGCCGGACGCGCTCCTTCTCGTGGACCAAGTCGGTGGAGCTGGTGCTGGGCGAAAGCAGGGTCAGCTTGCAGCAGCACCTCACCGTGCGGTGGAACGGCTCGCGCATCGCGCTCCCCTGCCGCACGCCGCAGTTCCACATCGACCTGGATGGCTACCTCTTGAAAGTGACCACCAAAGCAGGTGGGGCATCTGTGGCCTCCCTTTTGCTCTAACCTCCACCTCACTTACCGTCTCAGCAGCACTACTCGGTTAGAGTGCTCAGGAGATGTGGTTCTTCCTCCGAGGAAATACCCAAGGCAGAGCCAGGTTCCAACTGTGGGATTTGCCTCATCACCCCCCACTCACAGGGAAAGCACATCCTGAAGATGCCAAAAACAGCTGGAGACATTTGCACCATATGGAGTCTTGCAGTTGGATGCCAGTCCCATCAGCCTTGCAATCTTCGCACATCCAGGACCTTTCCATCCTCTGCCTAAAAATAGCAGTTGTACTCTCCACATAACCCCTCTCTCATGTTTTGTTGCTCTTTTAGGCCATCGATGCCCAGCTTGGAATTGTCAGTGCACCCAGCTCAGCCAGCTATGTACAGTTTCACGTCTATGAGAAATAATGTTACTGTGTTAGCATCTGTCCAAGACTTTGCAGTGGAGTCCTCAAAAGTAAACAGCTTAGTATCAGTGATGTTTGAAAGAAACGTAAATGTCCACAGCAGAAGGGCTTGTTCTTGCAGACTCTGGTATGCAGGAGTAGCCATATCCCACGTATCTGTTCTGTGTCACCGAGGCCCTCTCTCTCTCAGCAGCCCATGATGCTGTAGACTCACTGGTCTCTGCCTTTCCACTCCAAGAGCTGGTATATTCCCCCTTGGGCCAAACGATTTTTGACTGCCAGCAGTCCATGAGGCTCAAATTCTTTTCTGTTATTTGTTACCTAAGAAAGGCATTTTAGAAGCAGAACTCGGTTCTTCAATATCAGCCCCAGAGCATAATTTCAGCTCATTTTCACATTTTGTTATATCATGTATGGTTCCTTCTGTGGTACCTTTGGTTAATATATATCGTTTGTCAGTTAGATATTGCACTGCCTTTCCTCTGGCATACTCTATTTTTTTAAAGCATGATACTTTTAAGGAAATCAGTTATCTCCTGCTGTTTGCATTGATAAGAATTTAACAAATGTGAAAGTGTCAATTGGGTTCCCATTTCTTTAGACAGTGAAACATCTGATAAAGCAGGCACTTTTCAGGGACTCTAGAGACTGTTTATACCATACCTTCAGAACCCTGGTAATTGCTTCCATTCAAGCCAAAATGTATTTTGATCAGTTGATTTGAGCTTATGAAATGCCAGCTTAGCTAAACAAAGGCGGGAAACCAAGAAGAAGCACAGGGAGCTTTTAGTTAGAGAGTATAACATGTTTTCAGTGACAGAATGTTAAGTATTAATGTACTGGAACATTTTATCAAGGGGGAAAGATTTCTATTATTTGTTTCACAGTTGTGAGAGGTCTACTCATTCAAGTTCAGAGGGATTAGTCCTGCTTAGAAAATTCACACACCTGCTATTATATCCAAAAGACGTGGCACTCTGTAAATGTAGGCCCCAAGTCATTCCTTTCAAGGAGGCAATGTTTTTTGGCTCCCTGTAAAGTGTGCCTAAGATGACCCATTATTACACAGCACTAATTAAAAGCACCTTGACTATTTGCAAGCTAGCTGAACACAATAGATTCTACTGGTATGGAAATTACTAGTCAACCATAGCCTGGTTCTCAAAGAAATCTTGAGGTAAATCTTATAGTAACATGGAGAAAGAGAAAGCTTACTAACAACCTAAAAGGTTCAATATTATTTCATTCACAGCTGACACAACCCTATGGAATAAATGTACTCTTTACAAAGATTCCAGGTTATAAAAATGAGCAAAAGAATGAGGCTGCTAAGAGAATAGTAATAGATCATAAATGCCATGATTAGATTAGTGACTTTAACTGTTCTATGCCTTGAACTCATTTACACATTTAAAAATTTTTTTTTCCATCTCTTTCCACGATGCAAGTCATTTTCATGGCATTCAATACCCAGCTGAACAATTTCCGGTAGCACACAAATCACACAAGCCCTCTGCTTCCTACAGAAGAACTCTATTCCTCTGGGCATTGAACTTGCTTTGCACTTACTCTCTGAATGAAACAATTCTATTTCCAGACAATAGTGTTTTCCACCCTGGTTTATCCATCTCAGTTTGAGCTACCCTTTAGGGATATTTTCTTTTTTACCACCTATGGATTATCTATTTAAAATATTACAGCATTTCCTTTGCGTGTTCTTCCATGGATTTAAAAAAAAATTATAAGCTCATGTGATCAAAGGGTACTTTCTTCAAAATAGCAACTTAAATCAAGCCTGCAGCTGGAAGATGGGAGTTGGGGAGGAATGGCTCTTCCACTCTGCAGTTTATGTACTTCGCACTTACGATGGGATCATTTGGCAGCACAGGTGGCTGTGAAGTTTGGGTGGAATTAGGCTGTAGTTGCTTAGCTAATATAACAATCGGGGTAGGACAAGGCTTAGTAGTTCGAGAGAGCATTGCCCACTTTCAACACACAGCTCCACCCCAACTTTGGACACTTAGCAAATAATTTAAAAATATTTCCTTTCTGCCATCTGTTCACTTCATCAACTTTACCTGAAAGAATTAAATCACATGTACCTGAAAGCATTAGCACATGGGGAAAATGGCTTTTTACTTTATTTTTGGTAGAGCTTTACACTTGGTGAACCCAGAGAATATAGCCTACCTTGCTCTTTCTTTAGTGTAGAATCTGAATAGAAAAACTAATCAGTTTGTAAACCTCACTATAATATAGCTACAAATTTTGCACCTCCTCTCTCCTTTTTGCACCTCCTCTCTCCTTTCAGTGGACAACAGCAAAAGCAACAATAACAACCAGAAAATAAACAATGCAAAACAACAATATCCACAATATTAAACAACAACCTCAAAAAAACCCAACTAGTGGTCTGGAGCCAGGTCACACGTTTGAAGGGGGAAGAACAAGTTGGTAAAGCGTTCACTGGTAAGAAGGGAAAATTGGATGGCCCTTCCTGCAGTGGAAGGAATGTGGCTGCCGCTCACATCCCCAGATGAGACATATGCTTCAGCTTTAGCCTTCTGATTCTGCCAGTTTTTCTTCCCAATTTCCCGTGCAGAGAATGGAGAAACTCATCCCAGCTGCAGGAAGGACTGTGCCCAGCCTCTCAAACCTTTCCATGAGGTTTAAATCTCATAAGATGCCTATTTAAAATATTATTTGGAAGAACAATTCCCTCAATTATAACTTATTAGGGTTTTTTTTTTTCCTTTCACTACTGTAATCTACTTTGTATGGATTCTGCTCATGTAGAGTGTAAAAATATCCATGCAAACTCATATGTAAATGATATAGCAAGACAAAGGCATCTGTAGTAGAATAAATCATCCTTTCACAATGTGAAGCCTAGCATTAGTCTGTGAAAAATCTTCATGTTATAGTAACATGGAGAAAGAGGAAGACAGGAGAGTGAATTACAAATTATTCTCTTACTTCGGGGATTGTGTTTTATGAAGGAGATGTCATGAGTTTTGAGAAGGGTTTACTGGAAACACGGCAGTCTGCATCTTTCAAAGTGTATGGACCACCAATCCACTGCAAAGAAAGAATACAGTCATTCACTGTGAGTTGAATTCCCATGAACTCAGTTGTCCAAAGTCTCAAATTGAGTATATCATTGTCAGTAGTAAAGACTTTGGAACCCCCTGGGGTGTACATTCTCAACCATTTGTGGTGCTTAGAAGAGCAGTATTTGCCTGCTGTCTAGGAAAGAGATTTGTAGTTTGGAAACTTTTGCAACATGGAAGACCTTCAGAATTATGCTGTAAAAGTTTAACTTTGTATGGAATGGAATTGATTTTCTTCCCTCATTTTTCTTGCTGGGCAGATGCCTGGCTACAGGCTTGTGAGGTCAAATTTCTCCAATACCTGACAGAGTGTATTACAAATCATCTTATAGTTTGCTTGTCTTCTTTCAAAATGGTTATTTCAGTGTCTTGTCGAGCATGAAACTCAGAATGTCTTTGGCTTCACAGATTCAGTGTATCAAGGTTAGGGTAATTCATTTATTTACTGAGTACATACTATGTGCTAGATAACGTATTAGATGATAGAGCATGAAGAAATAGAATTCATTTTCTATGATAGTTGTAGTTGCCAGAGTTGACAGTTTTCTCACAGAGATCCACATGGGAGGTCAGCCTAGCCTTTGGGTTTCTAGCAGCATGTCCCTTCTCTCATACCTGGTCCCATCACTGTCTTCTCCTTATCAAATTATTTCCCAAAGAGACTTTCCTATGACTCTCCTTCTTCTTTATCTAAGTCTATGTAATTTCTTTTCTGAACTCGGACTCTTCTCTCAATTAAGAAATCTCTTAAATTTTCTTTGGTCTAAGCATGCTTCTATTTCTTCCATTGGCCATAGGGTGATTTCCTTGTGGGTCTTTCATTTATTTCTAGAGAAGTCCAGTTTTAGACCGCAGGTTATTCTACCAGTATTTCTCTTTGAAATAACTCTTGTAACAGTTGTGTGACCTACTCATAGGAATGCTGTCAACCTTCTCTCCTTTTGGACTATATCCAAACTTAGGGTATATTGGCTTAAGAGTCTTACCTCTGGGTGTTTCTTCCTGATCCTCCACACATCACTCCGATGTTGCTGCCTTATGCCAATTTCATATCTAGACAAGATCCTCTCTCTCTTCCCTCACAGGCTCCCTCCTACTGTTTCTCCTATCCCATTACCACTTCATCTTCCAACTTCTGAACATTTGCTCATCAGCTGAATCTTGGTCTTTCAGGAACAAAACCAAAGCCTTTTAGGAGGAAAGTCATTTTGATCTTTCCAGCACCTCAAAGTGGGCAAAATGAAAAATGTTTTTGTCAGGATCACAAGAGGAAAGATTTTTTAAAAAATACACACAGCTGGGCGCAATGGCTCACGCGTGTAATCCTAGCACTGCGGGAGGCCAAGGTGGGTGGATTGCCTGAGCTCAGGAGTTTGAGACCAGCCTGGGCAACATGGTGAAACCCCATCTCTACTAAGATACAAAAAAATTAACTGGGTGTGGTGGTTTGCACACCCAGCTACTCGGAGGCTGAGGCAGGAGAATTGCTTGAACCTACAAGGTGGTGGTTGTAGTGAGCCAAGATTGTGCCACTGCACTCCAGCCTGGGTGACAGAGCAAGACTCCATCTCAAACAAACACACAAACAAACAAAACCAAAAACATACATACATGGGGGAAAGGGGGCAGAGACCATTCTGTTAAAAAGAGGCTTCCTCCGTGGATACCGTTCTTTGGAGACAGAGACAGTGAATAAGGAGAAGTCCCAGGGCTGAAATACACATTGATGCCACTGTAGATGTTTCTTGGTGTCCATGCCACAGGTGGCCGCTTGCATTCACTTGTACAGAGTTCACCCATTCATTGGGGAGGCCAGGTACTGCCAGTGTATTCCCAGAACAGTAATAAAACACTCATTTGAGACATAAACAAAAACTCTGGTTAGAAAAGTTTGTCACTTATTTTGGGTTGAACCTCAGAAGACTTTTCAGGAAAGTCTCTCCTTTCTCTTATGGATGGTATCTTCACACACAGTGTGAGAGTAGATATGAAAGCATTTCTTCTTGACCTTCTAGTCAGATGTATCTATGCTGTGTCACAGCATAACCTGGCTGTTCTACCTGTGACATAAAAATTCCACCATTCAGAAGGGTCATTGGCCAGTGTGGCTCCTGGAAGTCTTGGACCAGCATGTCTCGAGATATATGCATACTTTCAGACAATCCTTCAACATTTTAAACAGTCAGCTTAGCAAACCAAGAAAGGTCTAAGTTCTCTACATTCTGGAGTAAAGAGAGTTTCCTGGATGAACCAGCAGTACTGGCCTGCTGATGTATGAACAAGAACTCTTGCCCATGGCCTGATATCCTCTACCACCACCTGAAATGTTGAAGCTTTTGAGCAAATCCAAAACAGAGGCCCAAGGGATAGAGGTTGGAAGGGTTTCACAACAACTCAAACCCAGGAAATGTTAATCAAATAGTGTCCATGTCCTTACAGGAATGATTGTAAAATAATGAGGGGACAAGCGTTTTTATTTTATCAGTCTTGCCTTTGAAGGGGATATATATTCAGAAACTACATATTGATTGCTTTAATAATATCATTATAGGAAATAATTTGGAAATTTTCCTTGGGCAGTGGGGAAATAATTGCATGGTGCAATTTCTGGCTGTAAATAATCGCATTAAAAAACAATCATCTTTGTTTTTTTTTTTCCATTTGCACATTATAGTAGTCATTAGATAAATGAACACTTGATTTGAACCAACACAATTACTTTAGGAAAAGGGAAAAAAAATAAAGCCTAGGGTAGGATAGTCAAGGAATAGTCATCTGTAGGTCAAACCAGGCTACACAGGATGTTATCAGGACAAACTTTATACAGTTTAAGAATTCTAAGCCCCAACCAGCAAATGACTCATATAATTTCACACGTTACTCACTATGGTGAGATTAAGAGGTAACCAAGAATTTAGACAGACCCTTGATGTTACTTGTTGGAGGACGGTCAGTCGTATGTTTTGTGTAAGGATGTATACATTTGGGAATTATTAGTGGATTAATGAGTGGTTGACTTCCTTTTTCTCTCCTCCTCCTCTAGGCTTGGAAATATCTTGGGATGGAGACAGTTTTGTAGAAGTCATGGCTGCCCCGCAGCTCAAGGGCAAGCTCTGTGGTCTTTGTGGCAACTACAATGGACATAAACGTGATGACTTAATTGGTGGAGACGGAAACTTCAAGTTTGATGTGGATGACTTTGCTGAGTCTTGGAGAGTGGAGTCCAATGAGTTCTGCAACAGACCTCAGAGAAAGCCAGTGCCTGAGCTGTGTCAAGGGACGGTGAAGGTAAAGCTCCGGGCCCATCGAGAATGCCAGAAGCTCAAATTCTGGGAGTTTCAGACCTGCCACTCAACTGTGGACTATGCCACTTTCTACCGGTAAGTACAGTGTTCTGGGGAATGGGTTTGGGTTGCAGACCAAGAATAGGCTTGACCTTGGAACATAGTATATGAAATCTCTTGTTGTGCAGGGCAAAGTATCAAAACTCAGGGTAGACATCTTCTTGCTGTTCAGCAGCTGATCTCATCTGAGAGTCTGCCCCATTTTATGTCCCAAATTGAGAAACTCCAAGAGGTATTTCAGAGTGATGTCCTCTAGGCAATTCCATGCTTTTATAGGTGTGCAGGTTTACTGGAAAGCTGGCTACACTGCAGGGTTTTTCCAGGTGTTAGCTTGACTCCAAGATTGAGGAGGGTTTCCCAAATTCTGGCCTCAACCCCAGTAGTACAGGGCAGAGCTGGTTCCCCTAAGTGGAATCTCAAGTCACTTGGCTGCCTTTGAGTGTTGGAATGAGTCTGGTTATTCTACCTGAGGAAGAGTTTAGGTGTGTCTTAGGGTCTAGCCCCAATCAAATATGCACGTGAAAAGAAGGAAGCAAAACGAGGATTCTTTGGAGCTTGGCCAACTGAGACTGCATGTCCAGAGTCCAAGGACAGTAGAAACAGGGCTGGAGGACAGAGGGAGGAAGGACTCTCATTAAGAATCAGGACTTCGTGACCTTTTCCAACTCTGTTTAACCCTTTCCACGCAAAGCAACTGGTTACACAGGAGACTTGGATTTGACTTCCACGCTGCAAGGTTGCATTTCTGAGTAGGTGTGTTTGGCCTGGGTGTACTTCCATTTGCTACACAATGCCGTGGGTTCAAGAGCTATGGCTGCCTGTAATTTTAACCACTGTGGGTGTGGGAGGAAACACAAGATGAACACAGCCCAGAAGGCCTTGTTTAAGTGATTTGCCTGTGCCTCTTACAATTAGAAAACTCCTGTGGTCTGAAGCCACAGAGAGGTTACTTTTGCTCTTTAATTGCCTCCAGTTTACTTCCCCTAGTTCTCATTAAATATGATTTTTTTATTTAACCTTTGGACATAAAAGATAAAGTTCTATAAAGGCAGCTCCAAGTGGAAAAAAGACTGTCCCTGTCATCACAAATCCCCGAACATGGCTGCATGTGCCAAACCATTTGGCTCCAAGTCATGGTTTTAGCTCCTTCAAGCCATTTTCCTGTTGTAATTTGAATTCCCTGGGTTCCCTTCTTTCTCCTCCCTGCACCACCCCTAGACTGACCTCTTGTCCAGTGAAACTGGGGGATCTTAACAGGAGGCTTTGCAGTGAGTTAAGCAGCTAATAGAGAAACATAGCTTTATTTGAAATCTAAATACCCTCACTTGAAGGTCTGATGGAAAGCAGTAGAATATAGCAACTAAGAACTTTGTGGTGCCCCAGAACTCGAAATCCAGCCTGCTGTGCAACCTGAAACAATGACCTAAGCTCTCTAAGCCTCAGCTTACTTATTTGTGAAGTGGGGATAATAAAAGAACCTATCTTGAAGAGTCGCCATCCAGATTTAGCAAGATTATGAACATGAATGCATGTGCTTAACACAATGCCTGCACATAGTCACTGCTCTATAATTGCTGCCATCATTCCCTTCATGATTAACTAAATAATGAAGAAAAGTAAGGTCTCTTCTGGAAGCTCCCCTATCTTGTTTGCAAATTTGGATTGGACCCTTCTCTGCTTAAAATAGAATGGAAAAGCTGTGCTTCTCCTGGAGCCCAGCAGCCTACACCTTTGATTTATACCCCATTTCAAAAGAGTGTATTGAAAATAAAAATTGGAGAGCAGGCCTGCAGAGGTTAGTTCCTTTTTTTTGAATTTCTATGTCTTTTGCCTTTGGCGATTTGTTTAGTGTCATGATTTCTGGACTGCAACTTCAATAGAATTTATGAATGACGACTTGGACATTTATCAATAAAGAGCGTTAGATTCCTTAGGTGGCCAGGCAGATGCTCCCCTTTTGCCCTTAATGATTCTATAGCAGCTACAATGGAGGACGCTTACTTGTGTAAACGGCTTGATGCCCTGAGTTGGGCAGCCCCTGAGAATGTTTGTGCGATTCTTGTGCATGGAGATTTAGAGGCCAGGATGTGGTGGGAAGCAGGCGTGTGCTCTCCTGGTTAGTGTCATGGTGTCATGGCAGAGTCCCCTTCCACAGCAGGCCACTTCTTCCTGGAAAGGGCCAAGGAACTCAGGAAGGAAAACTGGGCAATTCTGCCTGCCCTGCCCACAGCTGGTGACCTCACAGCCCAACAGGAGGATGCACCTTCATGCATCGCAAAGGAAAAATGGTCAGTGTTGGCTAGATCCTGTTTCTCCCCCTTAAATCCAAGTACATGTGTGGCAGGAGAAGAAAATAAACAAGGTGCAACATGGAAAGATAATTCTCTTCTCAGGGGAGCTCCAGAAAAGACCTAACCTCAAGGTTTGTAGGAGACTTTATGGAGCAGTGGACTGAGAGTGAGCCGTGGGGAAGGGTACAGCAAGGTGGACTCAAGCCCAACTCTTGAATATAGCAGTGTGCCCTGGTGCTTAGCTGAGTTCAAGATCTTTATCAAAAGAACTGATACACAGTAACTACCTGGCAGGATTGCTTCTCTGAGGACTGAGGCCAGTCGGCAGTGCAGCACTAGCACACGGTAGGTAGGCAGTCCTGGCACAGAGTGTGCTGCTGTCCCGTGTCCCTTCCTTTCCATGGAGAACCTCACTCCTGGCTTGGCCGTTTACCTTTCTGATTGTGCATATCTTCTCCTGATGTCTTCACCGAGGACTGATTAGATAAATTCCCACTGATGAATCTGTGGAACACTCTCAAAATGAACTGTTTCTCTTTTGGGATACTTTGCCAGGTAGTGTAAGTGATGATTGCATTACAGTGGTTTAAAAAGCTATTGTTTTTGTCTCATGAGAACGTCAGGTGTTTATTGTACTTGTAAATAATGTTGAAAAAGGTAAAATCAGCAATCACATGACTTCCCACACATGTAAATTTTTTCCTGTACATTTGATACAATTGGTGGAATTTCTAAAATGAACCCAAAAATATACTCAGATCTGTGGCTGTAACACATTTTTTGAGTCCTTACAGACCTAAAGAGACTTGCCTTGATATCATGGACGGTCATAGAGGTTATATACATCAACTGCATTGGAATTTTATTTCTTTTCCCCCCCATCCAAAAAATATCTGCATTTTCCTTTAAGGACAAAGAATAAAATAGTGTAACACACTCAAATAACCTTCTGAGCACCACTGTCTTGTAACAGAGGGAAAGGAAATGCAAAGAGAGTATTTTTTTTCTGAGAAAATACTACCCATTTTGGGTTTTTAATCTTATAATAAATTCCACAGGGAAATTCTCTGATAATTATGAGATAGTGCTTCTTATAAGGTCAAAATAATAATTACAATTTGTCTGAATTAGGTTTTACTTTTGAAAATTTATTTATTTTGAGACGAAGTCTTGCTCTGTCGCCCAGTCTGGAGTGCAGTGGCACCATCTCAGCTCACTGCACCCTCTGCCTCTCTGGTTCAAGCACTTCTCGTGTCTCAGCCTCCCACATAGCTGGGATTATAGGTGTCCACCACTATGCCTGACTAATATTTGCATTTTTAGTAGAAATGGGGTTTCACCATGTTGGCCAGGTGATCTTGAATTCCTAACCTCAGGTGATCCACCTTCCTCAGCCTCCCAAAGTGGTGGGATTACAGGTGTGAGCCATTGCACCTGCCCTGAAATGTCTATGATTTATAACTCCTATTTTATTTTGGTCTTTTATTCAATTTAACATTTTAATAGTAAACTGTCCATTGTCTAAGTACTTGATAAACTACCGCTTTGTAAATGAATGAAAAATTACTGCATAGTAATCAGTATTTTTTTTATTTTTTTTTTCTGTTTAAGGAAACTTTCTAAGCTTCACAAATCAATTTGATCCATTTTAGCTAATTTGGCCTAAAAATTTGACATATAATTAAGCTCTTTTTAATCAGCATAGCTTGCTTTAATTAACAAACTGAGTATGTTTGGGTGCAAAATAATTTAGTTACCAACTGCAGAAAAGTTTTAACTAAATGTATTGATAACACACCTCAAGTCTTAGCTTTGCTAATTGATTTCTCAAATTAGATAATCCCTTTAAATAAGGTTTTGCATTATCTCTTATTAGTGTGTAACAGATAAACTCCCAGGAGCTAGAGAAGCAGTGTATTATCTAACTACCTGGAAAAATTAATGTAAAGTTTTTTTAGATTATATTTGGATTCAAACGTAGACTACTTCGAAGAGAAAACGTATTAAGTGTGTTTTTGTTTTCTTTCTCCTTTCTTATATCTTCATGTCTCTCCTCCAGACTCATGTTGCTTCTCTCTTCATGCACCAGATGCCACCTGAGCAATCCATGAGGAATAGGCAAACTCCCACCACAAAGGCTCTCTGGAGATCCTTAGCGGCCAGTATCAAACCCACCTTCCCGCTGTGGACTTAGGCCACAGAACAGGACCAGCCCTGGGCGGCCAGGGGTACAGAGAGCAGTCAGAAGATGAGCTAGGGCTTCGTGGGCCAAACTGGGGAAAGAAATTATCTTTTATTCCTTGTGTCTATGAAATCCCAGCAATGGGCTTTTTCCCTAACTCAGACTGACATCTTGGAAGAAAGTATAAGAAAGTATAACTTGTTGCAAGTAAGTATAACTTGCCCACAAAGCAGAACTCTTAAGTCAGGGCAGGACTGCATTTCAGAGAAGTAAGAAAAATGAATGTGAAGTGCAGTGAAGCACAGACATTTAGAGACCACAGTCATCTCACGACTGTTTTTCTCTCTGCACTCTCCTTGATGGGGTATAATTCACCAGAGCAAAAACCCTGTTCACTTGTTCAGTTTGGGAAAGTGTCTGGGGATTCCCAGTCTAGGAAATGTTCTTTTCCTTCCATGCAGTGGTTTTTACAGCTGTAAGGAATTGAAGTCATGCCAGAGGATTCACAGATGTGTCCTTTCCTGTTGAGGTACTGGGAGGTAGGAGGTGGGAGGTCATGCAGG